TATATATTTTAAATTTTTATGAAATCTTCAAATTTATATTTTATTCAAAAATAAATTATTATTACTTTATTAAAAACGCATAAAATCGTATTATAATATTGACAAAGACAAATAATAAAATAGAACATTAAAATCGAAATGTGTCTCACTGCATTGCACAAGTACTCTTCTAGTATGTATATATATATATAGGGGTCTAATCAAATGAGAACTAATTAATTTGTGGTAATTGTGAGTTCAAATCTCAACCACAAATCAATAGATAAACTAAGAAATTTATAATTTTGGTAATATTAAATTAAAATTTTAATGCAAGGACATTTTAGGTATTTTAAAACTCTCCTCTCTCATCTCTCCATCCGCTATCCTCCGGCCTTTGGCCACCGTCCTCCGGTGATACCACAGTGGTATCACAATGCATCTTATATGTGTTTAGATATCACAATGAGATCGTTTGTGTCGTCGATCGAAGATGTAACACAATGATATCACAAGACATTTTATATGTGTTTGGATATCACACTGTGTCTTTTGTTTAACATAGTCAATAAATTTAAGTATCACAGTGGTATCACCGGAAGACGGTGGCCAAAGGCCGGAGGATAGCGGACGGAGAGATAAGAGATGAGAGAGGAGAGTTTTAAAATACCTAAAATGTCCTTGCATTAAAATTTTAATTCAAAATTATCAAAATTATAAATTTCCTAGTTTATCTATTGATTTGTGGTTGAGATTGGATCTCACAGTTACCACAAAGTAGTCAGTTCTCCTTTGAATGAGCCCCTATATATGGACCTAATCAAATGAGAACTAATTAGTTTGTGGTAACCGTGAGGTCCAATCTCAACCACAAATCAATAGATAAATTAGAAAATTTATAAATTTGGTAATTTTGAATTAAAATTTTAATGTAAGGACATTTTAGGTATTTTAAAACTCTCATCTCTCCTCCCTCCTCTCTCCATCCCCCATCCTCCGGCCTCCGACCACCATCCTTTGGTGATACCACTGTGATGTTACAATGCATCTTATATGTCCTTAGGTATCACACTGAGGTCGTTTGTGTGGTCAATTGGAGAAGTAATACAGTGATATCACAATGCATCTTATATGTGCTTGGGTATCACATTGTCTCTTTTGTTTAACATAGTCAATATTTTTAGGTATCACTGGAGGACGGTGGCCAAAGGACGGAGGCCGGGGGACAGAGAGAGAAGAGGGGAGAGAGGAGATATGAGAGTTTTAAAATACCTAAAATGTCTTTGAATTAAAATTTTAATTCAGAATTACCAAAATTATAAATTTCCTAATTTATCTATTGATTTGTGGTTGAGATTGGATCTCATGGTTACCACAAACTAGTCAGTTCTCCCTTGAATGGGCCTATATATATATATATATATATATACACATACTAGGTTCGACCCCGTGTATTACACGTGGTATTTTAAATGAGAAAAACTCTGGACATTAACTCTGGAATACAAGAATTCAGAATTCTATTGTTAGGCTGGAAAATAACTCTGGACTTAACTCTGAATAAGATGAATTCAGAGTTGTCTTCTAAGTCTAGAAAGTATCTACGAGCATAACTCTGAATCACAAGAATTATGACTTCTTATAACTCAGAAACGTAACTCTGAAGAGAAGTTCAGAGTTGTATTCTAAATCTGAGAATAAACTATATAACTAAGTTTGAAACATAACAATTCAGAGTTATGTTGTAAGTTTGAGAAATAACCAATATCTGATGACTTCATGTTGATGATTTATATCACTAACGTCATTTAAGTGTAATGAGATTAAATTGTTGACCAATGTAATCATATGATAAATATCGAACAGGTAAGGAACGTGTGGAATGCACACTTGTTTGAGTTTATTTTGATTTAGGGGCGAAGCCACTAAACGACGGGGGTCCGGGGGCAGCGCCCCCAGTGGCGGGGTCCAAGGGGCGGCAGCCCCTGGCTGGGGTCGAGTCCGGGTAACATTGCTTTGTGAAAAATGCTTCAAAAATTCGAATTTGAAATTTTAAATAAGGTTTTGATGACCACTACAGAGTTAAATTCCAACTTACAACTCTGAATTTTTCCAAAGTTCTCATGCAGAAGACATTAAGAGACAGAGCTCTTACTCAAGAGTTAAATGTCTCATATACAGAGCCTGCGCTGTTTCTCACCATAACTTCATATTTCAAACAATGTTTCGCATATAAAATAAGAGTTATTTATTTTTTATTACGATAAATTTAAGTTTACATTTTTAAAAAAAATTGATGATTATGTTATTATTTTTTATTTGATACATATTTAAAAAATATTTTGTTAAATGAAATATCTAAAAAACGATACATTTCTTTTATTAGTAGACATAAATAAAATTGATTTTTATCTTACAAAAATAAATAAAAATGATAAAAAAAATTTAAACCCAACTTAAAATAGAAATTGTTTTTTTATTAATGTTGATGGATCTGAATACATGCATACATACATACATACATACATACATACATACATACATACATACATATATATATATATATATATATATATATATATATACTAAAAGAGTACTCGCGTACTGCAGCGAGACACATTTCGATTTTAATATCCTATTTTATTATTTGTCTCTATCGATGTTATAATACGATTTTATGTGTTTTTAAGAAAACATTAATGATTTTATTTTTAAATATAAAGTTGAAGATATCATAAAAATTTGAAGAAAAATATATCAATGTTAATATCAAATCAACTATTTAAAAGTTTTCATTTTTTATGTAATTTTTTTAATTTATTTTTTTATTATAATTTTATTTAAGTTTAATAATGAAATAATTTATTTTTGGTTTAATAATATAATATTTTATAAAAATAATAATTACGTATTCTTTATAACTCCATGATTATCCTAATTATATTTTAGATTTTTTATATTTAAAATGAGATGTTTATCCAATATTTGATCATGTTTGTCTGCAGTTAGTTACATGAATTCAGATATGGAGCTTTAATAACTTGTACTTACGCATAATCTACTTGTAATCTTGAGTTTTAAGTAATATGCATTAATAAACTGTACTTTACGCATAAAAAGTGGTTTTTAAGAGTTTTTGTCAAATGCTTTATAATATAGTATAGATATAACTCACCTATATATATATATGTGTGTGTGTCGGATAAATTGCATAGAGTTTTAAAATATTTAGTATTTAACTCATTTTAAAGGTAACGACAAGATTTTTTCTACTAATGTAATTTACAAATAAAATACACATTTTAATGTATTTTTAGTTAAAATTATTTTTAATTAATTAATATAATAAGTGTATAAAATGTAAAAGGGTAGCAAATACAAAAATAGAA